GATTATGCATCGTGTATACACCGGAGATATATATATATACACATGTTAGCGGGCCATACAAAGGACTCAGGCCATGTGGAAATGTTGGAGGCACGCGAGCATGCAAGTAGTAACAGACGCGCGTAGCTCAGCCAAAGCAAGCGATTTAATGGAGTTGTTCGCACGAGGGCGACTCGGGGCACGAATGTTTAATAGCTGCGGCCAAAATAGTAGACGTAATCAATTAGGTAGCATGGGCGTTATTTGGGATCATCGTTAGCTCGAAGGAATAGCATTCTATAAGTCCGCAGCAACAGAAACAATTTTGACGATGAATTTTAATAGGAATTATTCGATCGATACCGATAATTAGGGATAATTGAAATAATTGCTTGACAATCGTCAAAGTCGACTCGACAGCTATTTTAATGGGATTTTTTTTCCCCCGAAAGCTGTGACGTGGAGGAACTCGTGTACCGTGGAAATTATTACGAGGAACTTGTGAATTGTGCAATTTTTTTTTCTACGCTCAAACGCTATACTTTTGCTATACTCAGGAACGTAAGCTGTACCGTTGCTATTCATGTCGTAATATCCTAGAGTATCATTGGTTGTTATCTTTTGTATACTTTTGTGAGATCGATCACGGATCTACCGCGTACTTATTCATTGTTATTATTTTTTATCAGCTGACCGACGTTATATTTTTATATTATATTCAATGAGAACGCTTGCCAAAAAATATATTTGTCGATATGAAAAACCGGCTTTCGTCAAGAGATTGCGTTTTAGCAAGGTAAAATTGTCCCGTTCGTATTGTCAGGTATAATAGACAATAACTGCATGCGACAATGGAGGGATATGAAAGAAACCGGAAATGGTATATAGGCAATCGTGTATATTACACGGATATGTAATGGACACACGAGTAAAATCCACGGGACTCCTTCGCATTGAGATACGTATAAAGATGGCCCCTCGAAAATATATTTTACTCGTGGACTCTACCGTGCGAGTAGCACGTGTGCACTTGAGATGGAGTGTCGAGTGAGAATGACAATGAAGCTTTTTTATGGGTTTGGTGGATAACTGCCGGTCATTATGTTAGCGTTTAACCTAGAAAAAAATTGAACAGGCTCGGTGAAATTATAGCCGAGTGCATCGGTTGCATCGTAAAAGGGAAAAAAAAAAAAAAAAAAAAAATCGATGAGAAATACGTACAAATTTCACGTTGCATCCTTCCGTCCCTAAGTAGCATCAACGAGTACAGAAACAGCAGCTGCACTATTAAGCGAATGAACCTTTAATGCACTTTGGCGAGTTTGCTGAATAAAAAGAAACAACAGAAAAAGTGCAACGTGCTTGACGAGGAAAAGGGAAAAAAAAAAAAAAAAAAAAAAATCGATGAGAAATACGTACAAATTTCACGTTGCATCCTTCCGTCCCTAAGTAGCATCAACGAGTACAGAAACAGCAGCTGCACTATTAAGCGAATGAACCTTTAATGCACTTTGGCGAGTTTGCTGAATAAAAAGAAACAACAGAAAAAGTGCAACGTGCTTGACGAGGTGCAACACTAAGTGAAGAACCGGCTAATGAGAAGGACATTAACGTCTACAGATATTTTCATAGTGCATACGCCTGGAGACTGTTAGCACCGCGTGTAAGGGTAGCAAATACAAGCAACGGCGAACTGCATTGTTCAGAGTGCAATGAGAATGTGCAACATTGTAAAACGTAAATACGATGGTTAGACAGAACGTATTATTCCTCGTGACAAAATAATATTTTTCTCCAACATTTCGATTATTCCTTTAAATAAACAAAAAAAAAATTACAAATTACAGGAAATCATACAAAGCTCGTTCGAGTAAATTGCATGCACTCTTTCCTGTGGAGTCGTTATATTGTAATGCACTCTGCGTACCGCGCACTGCAACGATAAAATTTGCTACCATCTAATGCAAATTTATGTAACATTATTGCAATACGCATATATTAACAAGCTGCACTGAGAAAAAAGACTATGGTATTCTTAACTATGTAGCAAGGTAAAAATATTGTTAGTTGGTGAAACCAAGCTTGCAGTATTTTTTTACAATTAATTAATTAGCGCAAATTATCTTAGCATACTTCAGTTTACTATTGCAATTGGTGGATATAATAGTAGTAGCAAATACTAACTTCATAGTAAATTACTTCATTATTTTCAAAAAGTCAATTTTACTTAGAAAAGAAAAATTTAAATTTACTACGGACAGTAACCATAGTTACCCATGGATGTCAAGGGAAAAAAATTGTCACATATTTATGGTAAGAAAACCCATATTCATCCTAATACAGCAACCGGCAACCAGTGGGATCGGCACACGCGCAAGCAGATGCAGGTCAACGAGCCGATAAGTCCGAAAATTAATTTGTTACAGAATTCTGAAAAAGAGATGAAGATGCGGTAAAAGCTACTAACGTACAGCATCCAGTGGTCCAATCCATCGCACTGCTTCGACATAAACTCTTAGAGTCAAGTAAACTATTTAATGTTCCTTCGTACTGAAATATCCGAACAACATATTAAAGCAGTGTAAAAAAACATAAATAGCTTGAAGTTACTGACAAATATTTTATTGTTAAAGCAACTAACAACGATTAGTTCAGAATACTATTTTTACTTGCACACCTGATAAAATTAACTAGACCGTTTCGTTAATCACAAGAGTGGCAAAGTTATATCCAACCATACAATTTACGGTTGTATATATTATCATCAACGATAAAAATAATAAAATACAAAGTTGTTCAATCTTACTATTGCCAAAAAGTATTAATATGCCGTGTTGCTAACAATTGTGATCAGCCTAACAAATCTGAGCTTACCATAAACTGTAGTCAATTCCTTTCGGAACCCCGAACAGTCAGGAAATGGTAAAAATTTAACAATATATTTTTCCTCGGTGTAAAAAAAAAAAAGAAATTTTTTATTTCCCCAAGGACCACGCAATTTCATCATCCCTGTAATAATTAATTCCAATTAAAGATCCGACGAATTGACAATGACAAATTCATTAAGCACTAATTCCAATCTGAATATGTATTCTTATAATTTGTAAATTATAACGCACCGCTACGCAACCGTCCTACAAGTCCCCTTAGCCTCAGGCACACACAACCACAGCCATTGAGCACTGACACACAAACCTCTCTCTGATAACCAGATACGCGTCTCAGGACACTCTCGAGTCTCAAAACAGCTCTGGCCACGGTTATCATTATCGTGATCGAGTTACCGCTGCAGTCCCGCAGATACAGATTTCGCAAGCAAAGCACCGATAATATAAGTATCGCAAGGTACACAGAGGCGGGGAAACCTCGAGAAACTGAAGAACCGATAAGGGAATGTGCAGACGCGAGACACTTTGCGATTGGCTGCTGATAAACACAAGATACTGCGCCCTGTACGCGAAGATGCACCCTGTAGATATAGAGTTAACCCAGAGCGACGATAAGCATCGGAAGTGGTTGCCACTCTATGGATTTCCACTTGAGACCGGAACAAGAGGAAGACGAAGTACGAGTATTGTCGCGACTGGATGCATTCAGTGCATCTGCGATTGATCACTCGGAAGAAGTACAGACAGAAGTGTAGCCAATGAGATTGTACCAAGGCGAGACTTCAGAAGTGCACGACTGAAGTCCAGCACGGGTATAGATTGGATCTGCTTGTGGTATGCGCTGAGTGTAGCGAAGGTGTAGCATTTAGCATGGGCACTTATGCAGATGTCTAGGGCGAGTGGGAGAGAGAGAGAGAGAGAGAGAGAATCAAAGATCACTTACCACGGGCTCCTCGTATTCTTAACTCGCCTTTATCCGTGGTTCATAAAACCAGCACGTCCTTCGATACTGGAGGTCGATTCGCGGATAGAGTCGGCGATTATTTAGCGCTACGCGTATTTTCGAGCGCGGATTGATCAGTCAGTTGGTACGACTGTGGGATCAACACGTGGATTTTCGCGCGCGAGGGACAATTACTGGAATGCAGTTGTTTGAGTAGAGTCGATGCGTTACGCGATTTCGATAGCCTTGAAAAGGAGCAAAGGGTAGCGGAAGAGACGGTGCGATTGGCTGAAGGCCCGTGGCAAGGAACATCGAGGGAAGGATGATCATGTCATATACACGTATACCGTATGTCCCATCCCAAGTAGGACACCTGAAGTTGCCGCTATCGAAAACGAGTAACAATAATCGAATCTGCCGAACGAGTTATCCTCTTCTGTACGGTATGAATTTTGATCTCCTTTTCGATCGCGGCAACTTCGAGTCTCCTGCTTGGGACAGGACATACGGTATATATACACTAAAAGCATGAAAGGTGCCGTAAGACCTTTACAAGACATAAGCCTGTCCTAAAAAGGGAACCCCTAAGTCCACGGCGCGTCATCAAGCTTGGCTGACGGGCAAGGCCGCTTTTTCGTTATCGCAATGATAACCTGCCTGGTGCCTCCAGGTTGCGACCGGTCGGCGATCCATCATCCAGTACACCGCGACCACGGCACAGTCCAGTACTATAGTCTAGCCATGGTACCGAAAGGCTTTCTGATGGAGCCGCTGGAGGTTACGTAACCTGGACTCCGGATACCCCAGCCTAGAGAGGATGGTATCGTGCCGCTGGCTGGAACCCAACCTAACCTACCCTTTGCAATCTTGCCCATCGTTTGCGAAAACGCCCAGCCCGTAGGTTCGTCTCGTTGATGATAAAGCAAGCTCAGCTTACGGAGATGGTTCCCCGACTCATTTATCAACAGCGATGAAGTTGTTACGCGGGAACCTTAGCATACGTAAACTCGTCTTATCTGGAGCCAAAGGTCTTGTTAGGTTAGGTACCTGGTACCTTTATGACCTACCTGCCGATTACGATGATGATCATCGTCATCCGAGTAACAGCGATAAGATCGTGTGATTATCGTGGTAACGAGTAAAAGTTTTCATCGACTTTGCAATTGCTCTCAGTCTTAAATTATAATTACGTCGGTGTTGATCTTCTTAATTGATCCAGACAGTAAACAAAAGTGACGCCTTGATCCTTGAAGGCGATCGTCGCCTTTCTACCGTCCTGATAAATCTGTGGGGAAAAAATATATGCTCAGAGTCTCGTCCGACTTCACTCGGTTCCCTACAACTTTCTACGAATCTCTGGATCTCCGAACTTTCAAGGGCCGGGCTCGTGGCATATTATACGTATGAATATTTTAAAAGCAACTTTTCGTTGCTTTTAAGTAAATTCACATTGGATATAATCATAACAGTATCGGCGCGAAAGGTAGGGACCGTTACGGGTGGGATGTTACGTGACGTTGGTCGGCAGAAACTTTGGCGACGTCATAACGTCACGCCAATTTTTTCGAGAAACCTCAACGTGACGTCTGTCAGTGGAAGTAACGTCAAAGAAAACTGGAACGTGCCGCAGATGGTCTGCTCTTTTTTTTTGTCTTTTTTTTTCAACACACATTCATACACGGCTTAATGACTGAAGGTGGATCGATCTCGTAATTAGTCCCGACGAAACGTTCAAGACCCGTTTATACACTCATAATGGAATTCAAGAGCGATGACCACGGATAAATCGATATCCGAGTGAGAATTTCAAGAATGAACTAAAGGACAGATAGACAGTGAAAAACTGTCAGAAATAATCGGGCAGTTAGTTAATTCAGGGCAAATGACGAAGGAAGTCGGATAACGTGGGAATTTGCTTCGTAGCCAATAAAACAGAATTTGTACGACGTCCGAGCAAATCCGATATCGTCCGACATACATTATAAATCCGATTTAATCGATAAGCACGCGATCGAAGGAATTCGACTTTTACGAGTTTACCTTAAGACTTCGAATGATCAATAGTACGTGAAATTAAGCCTGAAAACCATGAGTAGCCTAATTTTTGATTAAGTTGAACAAAATTTTTTAATTATCAATTTATCTGATATTCGATCGACAAATAAAATTCGATTAGGCGACGACGACTGATATTATAAATATTTATTATTGGCACTTACGCATTCCCTTAGTTTGAAGTTTGAGCAAATTTTTTTATCATCGATTATTTATGTTATCTCAAATAGGATATACTGGCGTTATGTCGTTTTTTACATACCAATCAATGTATTTTCATATCGCATAAACTTTTCAAGTGTGCTGTGTTTATCTAAGACAAATATACAGAGATATAAATTGCAAAATTATGCTTACGGTTATTCGCGCGAGGCTATGTTAAACGTTCGCATACGCGTGGGCTTTGATTAAGATAAGACAGTCTTAATCGCCCTGTAATTTCTTAGCTCAATCAAAAAGTTTGGCACTCGATTTCTCGTTTGTGATTTCAGCTAATAAAATCTACCAATTGACAAAGCAATATTTCTCGGCGCAAGTAGGCCTATAAATAGGCGTCCCGACGCGTACCGGCGCCCCGGGATTATTAACGTAATTTACAGCCGTTGATTCTGACGCCTTTCTCCTTTCCCTAATATTTTCTCCTCCTCCCGCAGGGGATATCCACTTTGGCTCTTCTTGCTTCGCGCGCCATTAAAAATCTATCGTCAAAGCTACACGTGTCTGCCCTATAATTCAGGCACGTCAACTTTTCTTTTTTATCAAATTTTCAATAAATAAAAATCAACGTCCAGATCACCTGTATAAATAAGTGATAAAAAGATGCGTGAAAAATTCTGGAAATAAATAAATCGACCACTTAATAATTAAAATCATATCCTAACGTATTATCGATCTCCGATACCAATGATGTCATACCTATACCTTAAGCAGATTACCAAAGAGTCTAATGAGATTTAAAACTTGTGCAATGAGAATAGCAATTACCTCTATTGTAATTTTTGTTGAAAAAAAGGATATCGATTTATATTGTAACTGTATGGTATAGTCAGTGGTGGGATAAGTATATTTAAACGTGAAATGGGTAAAGTAAGTATACGTTACAAGTTGCGGCTTCGTTACACTTACGAGCTGTAAACTTTGAACTAGCAAACTGCTGTCTGCTTGCTGTACGAATCTTCGCTACGAGATATATGAAAGTAACGTAGACGTTATAAGATAAGGCGAAGTTACGATGAACTAAGTTAACAGATATCAGATATTGAATTTGGAAGAAATTGGAAAAAGGGTAAAACACCAAAACAAAATTATTTTTTTAATTGTAAATATATTTTTACACTTTATCGTCAATTTTGAGGGGAAAAATTAACAGATTGTATTTTCCATAAACTAGTACACGCATATAGTCATATATATACGAGGACACAGTTTACAGAGAGCTGAAACCCTAATTCCGACCATCTGCCTCATTCATAACTTGGGTCGAACCAATTAATTCCCCATAAACGAAAAAAATTAATGGTCGCCATAAATTGGCTAAAGAAAGAAAAGAAAAAAAATTGATATAAAAAATTCCGAACGGTCAGTCGCGAAATTTATAGGTGACAGTGCAAATTCTGAAGCCTCGTCGATAAAGAATCGAAAAGCCACGATATTAATTTCTCGTCAGATTCGCGAGAAAAAAAAATTAAAGGAAAATTTATTCCCTACTGTTACCATATGTTATTGCCAACCCTATACCTTATACCCAAGATCACTATACTCTAGTCTCTCCTATCACGTGTCATTTACTATTCGATAAATCTCTCGTGTTATTCCCATTTCACTTAACTTTTATCACCAGCGATATTTTTCCTTAGCCTTTTTCCAATTATCTCCTATATATTTTTCTGCAACGTCTTTATGTATCTACCCCATCAGCCATATATTTCCTTGTCCATATATATGTATATACACACGCACACAATAATTTACATACATTTACGAAAATAATCAATAATTACCCGCAAAGATAAGAAATATCTGTACGTTGCGATATTGCATCAGGAAATTTACTATTTTTTTTTTTTTTTTTTTTCATAACGTTGGTCACGCAGGTCATTCCATTAAGTAATATAATATTCATGGGCGTACTTAGCACTGGATTCTGATCCTTTACACGTACGCTCGTAAAACGAGGTACGGTCGGTTGCCTTATGGGAACCTAAAATTCTCATTAGAAGCCATTAATGGCAGCAAGCTGCCGCAAATATGACGGTAAGTTAATAGTAGTTAGATAACGGTTGTATGATACATAAAATATATGGATATGGAATATAGTATAAATTAAAAAAAAAAGGTTTGCCAAGTACGCGAAGTAAATTCTGGTTTTACGTATTTTCGAGCGACGACTTGACGAATGACAAAAAAAAAGACATGTTTTCGTCAATTTGTTGCCAACCTAAAGCAAAAAAAAAAAAAAAAAGGATCTTGACAAGAGAGAAAAATCTCCGGCCTACAAACAGTAACTACGTAAAAATCCTTGAGTCTCGGAAAGCACAAACGAGAAGCTACGGAAGCGTGTACGAAATCACAGCTACAATTTTTCTCGCAAGTTGAGGGGGAAAAGTAAATATAAAAAAATAAAATAAAATTTAAGACGATAGCTTTTTTTTTCCTCAAAGCAGGTAACTTTACGACTGCGCTAATATTATTCCCAGACCAACGAAAGGGGTTGCGCTGTAATTAAATACGCGCTTTACCCGTAAACTTCTTTTTGTATATGGTTTCTCCTTACCATTTATTTTTTGACTCAGTCGTTGCAAACTTCTCGAATAACTAAACGGCAGTACCGAGTGTGCAAGGATCCCAGGAGATACAGAATTCCAATTAACGATTTTGCAATTTCGCAATATTCCACTAGCATGTATTCCACGAATATGATTTTTGCGAAAAAAAAAATTTTCAATCCGTAAATACCTAAATAGCAGCCACGTGCTAAGTGTACAGACGAATTCAGTCGTTTAGTAGCAAAATACTCAAAATTCACTAGTCAACGTCACATTGCTAATGACACAGATCCATAAAGTTCCCGGCGTCGCGACGCTTGTCAGGCACGTCATAATTACGGTCGAGCTCAAGCCATATCCTTGACGTTCGTTATCTTTCACGAAAATTTCGTTAATCAGCAACAACGACGCCGCGACATAACGATGCGTCGGAGGGGAAGTACTTTGGACGTTGACGTAGACGCCGACGCTCCGATCGCAAGCGTACGCAACTTTTCGACTAAACATTAACATCAGCATGTCCATTAATACTTGAGAAAAAAAAAAAATTTGTAAATGAAAAGTCCAATTAGTCTTCACGCGTCAAGTATAGCAGATACGTTCAATTGGTGGGAATTTTTAAATTCGCATCCAACCGACACGCATTACACCTACTAATTAAAACCAACGAGCAAACAGTATTTAACGCGCTATACAGCACCGCTGTTTCCCAGGAGACTATTATCCGTAATAAACTGTCTTTTATAATGGAGGCAAACGCGTCGACGGGACTTTAACGTCATTTCCGCGTTCTGCTATTCTAACAAGTTAGACGGTGGGGTGCGGGGAGGGGGGCAACGTAGAAGTATAATATACACCTGGGGGATGCTAAATTTCGATTCGTATCTCATGACGTATCCGTATCACTCGACATCGTTAGACAAGCGATAACTGTATTTTATCTGAAAACGTAGACGCTCGCCGTCGTAAAAACGAAAACGGAGAATTTTTCATAAAATTACGTATAAATTTTTTCTTCTTCCACGACAATGGCACAGAAAGCTAATAATATATTCGCGAGACCGCATGAGAATGATATTTGCTTTATTGCAGGAAAGCAGGAATAATAATAATAATAATGAAACATAAATAATAATCCCTCTCGTGTTTTCCGCATTAATTGTCTTTTATGACGAAAAACGAGAGATGAGATTCGCAGGAGATTAAATTTTCCAGCATTCGCGGACAGGTCAGCAAACGGAAGGTTGATTTTGTCTCATTAAAAATTATAGAGTGCAAATAAGTTTAATGCAAAAAGTTTCATTGCCCGGAGACGAAGAGGCGTTTGATAATGTTAAAAAGAAAAAAAAAGAATGCGTTTTCAAACTTTAATTCGCGCTACGGTGTTATTCCGTACTTGCGAAAAGAGTAAGGAATCTCATTCAAAGTTTTTACGCTTGATTTTTCCATTTGATTCGTATGAAAG